TTATATTCACCTATATTTTTACATTCATTTTCTAGGAGGGGGAGGTGGGACTCACCCAGCCTACCTACCCATAAAACTTCAGTTTCACCTCAAACTCACATGTGATTTCAAGCGACTGAAACGGGTACGACCCCCCCCCCTACAACAAACTCAACCAAGTACGACCCCCCGTTGTTACTAGTAACAACGTAGGGTTGACCCTGATAGGGAGGGTCTCTGTGCGAGGCGTAGTCGGTGGTTTCGTTTGCTTTGATTCTCTTTTCTAGACCACCTCCTCTAGCTTCATAACTGAACGCTTTTCTGCACCTTTTTATCCCGAATCTTGCCTTTAGTACCATCCCACTTACCTCTGGAAAAATTTTGGCCATTTAGGGTTCAGTGCCGCGAATGGTTCTTCATCGGAGGGTTTGAAAACGGCAATGTTTTCTAAATTTGCGTCTCGAACATAGTAAGATCCTGAAGAATGACAACCCTATAGTATCGTTATAACGCGTTGTGGTAAACTCGTCCATTTAATTTCACCTGAACTTCCGACTGGAATGAGTACAGGATGAATGCCTTTATTTATCGCTTCTTGTGCTTTCATGAAGGTTTGCTTGAACTCTTCATCGCCATGGAATGTTCTGTGAGTTTGATAAATGTATTCGACGTTTCTAGAAGGTTTTCCAAAACAAAGCCTACTTGGATTCAGAAAGGACGTAGTCACATGATTTCTGATTATCTGCCGATACTGACACGAATGAATGTTCCTCCTGTGTGGTCGTATGCACAAAAGACTTTACTGGTGAAGTTTGTTGTATAGATTTTACTGTCATATGAGTAACTGCTGAAACACTTGCAGATAACCTTTTGGAGAAAAAGAACACAGAAAGAATAAAACCATTAAGGATAAAGGATAAAGCATTTGCCGTTGATCAATCCCTTTTTGGGATGCGGCACGCATTCTACTTCCATTTGTACATTCGTAGTGGCGTTTGAATGCGATGTGGCCTATACAATGACTTGCGGGGGCCAGCCGATGTACAAGTCAGTGTTTTTATCCTCCCAGACAAGTCTGGTACCAATTAACCGACCCCGGAGGGATGGAAGGCTTGGTTGGCCCGGGCGACTCACGACCCAGGATTTGATCCCGGACCGCTCGCGTGGAGCGTGCCACTTCACTACACCACTTCCGCCCTGATGGAAACGTTAGAAGCTGACTCACTTTTGGGTTGTGCAATACATTCTTATTATTCAAAACCGCTTTGCATTTTGAATGCGATTTGGCCTACATTTCAATGTCCAGCCTGTGTTCCCAAACAAGTCAGTCAATACCAGCTAAGCTAACTGAGCCCGAGACGTAGAAGGCTTGTTTGGCTAGGGAGGCGCACAACCAAGGATTTGAACCCTAGTTGATGCAGACGAATCACTCATTGCTACCACTTTCGTCGAAGGAAGAATGAGATCTCACAGGGGGGGAGGGCAACAAATCATCCCATTCACTTTTAAACAATAATACACTTGCTGTAACCAACCGAAAGGGCTCCCATTCATATTGAAGAGGACATTTCATCTAATCAAATAAATACATAGGGCCGCGACATAGATAAGAATTTCCACGAAACTTGGTGCGGTACGAGCTCAACGAGTCGTCGAGGATACCGATGGACCATTCTAGTATCCTGGTCAAAAGCCATCTTGCATAGTCAGAGCTAGTGTCCCTAAGAAGTCATTCACCAGTTATCCGATTGAAGAATTTATGTAGCAGCTTCAGAATGGAGCGATTATGGTAGGCCTCCTTGAGCTCGACGGTGATGACAGATGACGTCATATTCTGGAGACGGTGAAGGCAGCGAAGGTGGGCCTGATTCTGCTTATGGGGGACATCTAAGGAAAATTTCGCCGTATAACCCAATAACAGCGGCAAAAAGTTGATGATATGCGCCAGACTGGCATACTTTTTTTTACCTCCTTCCCCCTGTATTTTCAAACATAAATGACGGGTTTGCCGCTCAATTGGCATCTCGCGATAGCTGTTCGCGGGTAGTGAGGTTGCCGAGGGACCATTTTGGTAAAATAAAAAGGAAGGAAAAGAACAGGGCGCTTATGTCTTCAGGGGCCATTCAAAAACCGCCGCTAAATGGCACTAGGACTAAACCAAGGATTGGAACAGAATAAACACCAGGGAGAACAGTGGTTGCTCACATCCTCTCCCAGAATCCTTTCCCCTCCCTAAAGCTTAGTCTCGAATTCTATGAGTGACCCACTCATTTCAATGTATCCCATAAAGGACATGAGCGCCAAGAAAAGGAACAGCAATAACTAGTGAACATAGCCAAATGAGTGCTGATGCCGTTTCGTCAGTTCCATAAGCGCATTCTTGATTGACGGAATATAATAGGAAGCTTATCGAATGCAATCGATTCTCTGCAAGCCTTCAGCTTCCGTGGAATTATTCGTTCGCCGATGTTCACTTGTCAACTCTGCGGAGTCAGTGAAAGTAAGTTTTGCCTTGTTGTTGTGCAAGCCCAGGTCCTGGTGACTATCATGAAGCGGGCACTGTCGTGACTTGCGCACGACCTCGACCAAAGATGCCCAAAGGCCATGCGCAGGGGATGCCTCTTACGCACGCGCCCGCACGCCACGTACTTGTTGCGGTCAGGCCCTGATGTGCCCACAGTGCACGCACGTCATACAGGGTGCGCCAAAATTACGGAGACAGCGACTTCGAGTTGCCTAGGATGAGCAAGGTGCAATTCTTTGAAAACAAAAATGCAGTGACGTGCACAGTCCCATTCTGAATCGTCGACATCCATGCAATTTTTGAAATTCCTTGGTTTGTGTTTATACGGGTCCTCAGAAACATCGAGGAACCATCGACTGTGGCACGCAATGTGGCGAGTAGGACTCGTCAAGCTCATTTTAGAGCGGTTTCTTCAACGAATCCCTAGACATAATGTGTTTTATGCAAGCCTCAGCTTCTAGAACGGATCCGACAGCGTACCCTATCGAGCTCAGATCTGAAATGCTGTTCTACCACCGTTTAAGCCGACAAAGTCGAAAAAATCGGTTCTGCATCAATGCTGCACTAGTACTGAACCACCCTTGCCTCGTAAACGGGAGCTCCTACTTGATGGAAGGCCCAGCAACGATTTTCAAAGTGAAAATAAACTCAGGATAGCAATGGGCTCTGATAAGTCCAAAAGAGCCCCCCTGATTCCTATCTCTCGTGACATCCAGTGAAACCAGCGCGTCAACTACCTGCAAATTCTATCGCACACAATCCTTAGATTGTTCGTGGTCGCCACAGAAACACGCCCTTCTCATCCAGAATGACTGCATTCAGCTCCTTGTCCCCTGTACCACTTGGAGCATCTATTGATAGTGCTCGGGTATACACCAAAACGATGATAATTGTCGCGTGCCAAAAACCCTCAACGTCGAAGTCCAATGATTTAGGGACGGTG